ATACTAATAAAACATTATATTTACAAAATTATTTAAATTCACGAGGAAGTCACTTGAAATTTATTAAAAAATTTAAGAAAAAAAATGAAAATAATTAAAGCAATAAATTATTTTTGTAAGATTTTTACTATTATTATTTTACAATTAATTGAAATAAATTGTCCTTGTTTAATGAATATATTTGGTAATTTTAGTGGTTCAAAAACATTTACCAACTTTCCAACAACAACAAAAATTAATTGTAAAATCAATTTTTCCATCAATTTTCCATCATAATTGTAAATTCCACTTGGAAGCTAATAATAAAAAACATGATGACTTGATTTTTCCATCGAACAAATTTATTAGATGAAGCAGCAAATATATAATTAATTATCAATGCGAATTAATTGTCAACGTTGACATGTATTATTTTGTGATACACATTTGTGGCTAAAAAGACTAAAAAGAAAAAAAATTTTTTTGACAAATTATAATAAAAAACACAAAAATGGAGAACATTTTAGATAAAAATGATGAATATTCAAAAAAAAGATGTATGTTTTATGAGGAATGTCCAACTTGTAATAGATATAATACTAATCAGGCATGGTGTCAATCATGTGATCCAAAGCTATTAACTGAAGGATGGACTAGTGGTAATGAAACATTAGATGAGTTGATTAAAAGTACACAACTTAAAGCAACTCATTATGGTACTCGTCATGGTAATTATGGTTATCTTCAATGGATTCCTTATAATGATTTAACAAATATTGAAAAGGTAGGTGAAGTTGACTTTGCAACTATATACAAAGCTACTTGGTTAAATGGTGATAAATATGCTAGTGGAATTGATAGAATTAGCAAAGATATGACTGTGGCATTAAAAAAACTACATAATTCACAAAATATTTCTGATGAATTTCTTAATGAGGTAAATTATAATACTAGTTTCAGATTTTTAAAATATTATACTGAAATTCAATATATATTTTTTTAGTTCAACAATTATGCTGCATTTTATGATAAACCATTTATAATTGAAGTTTATGGATTAACACAAGATCAAACTACAAAAGAATATATTTTTGTAATGGCTTACATGAAATATACAAGTCTTCAATATTATGAAGACCCATATATTAGAAAAGATTATTATGGGGAATGTCCAACCTGCAATAGATATAATACTGATTATTCATGGTGTCAATCATGTGATCCAAAGTTATTAACTGAAGGATGGACTAGTGGAAATAAAACATTAGATGAGTTGATTAAAAGTACACAACTTAAAGCAACTATGTATTATAATAAACATTATCTTCAATGGATTCCTTATGATGATTTAATAAATATTGAAAAGATAGGTGAAGGTGGTTTTGCAACTATATCCAAAGCTACTTGGTTAAATGGCAAGAAAAATATAAATGATGGGAAAAGATATAGTAAAGATATGACAGTGGCATTAAAAAAATTGCATAATTCATCAAATATTTCTGATGAATTTCTTAATGAGGTAAATTATTTTATTAGTATTAGTTTCAGATTTTTTAAAATATCATTGATTATTATTGTTGTAATTAAATATTTTATTGTTATTTTAGTTCAAAAATTATACAAAGTTTCATGATAAAGAAGATATAATTAAAATTTATGGATTAGCACAAGATCCAATCACAAAAGAATATATATTTGCAATGCAATATATAGAAAATGGAAGCCTTCAAAATTATTTAACAAAAGATTTTAGAAATTTAAAATGGAAAAGCAAAATTCGAATTCTTGAACAAATTATTACTGGTTTAAAAGATATTCATAAAGAAGAAATTATTCATCATGATCTTCACAGTGGTAATATTCTTCAAAGTACTGTTTATTCATATATTGCAGATTTAGGATTATCATGCCCAGTTAGTCAATCATCAAACAAAAATGATGTATTTGGAATACTACCATATGTTGCACCAGAAATTTTAAGGGAGAAACCATACACAAAAGCATCAGATATATATAGTTTTGGAGTTCTGATGTCTGTAATTTCAACTGGTCAACAACCATTTAATAATTTGGCACATGATCTAGGACTTGCAATAGAAATATGTAAAGGGGTAAGACCTGGATTTTCAAACAATACACCAAAATCCTATATTGAACTAGCATTTAGATGCATGGATGCTAATCCAGATAAACGTCCAGCTGCCAATGAAATTTATAAGATTATTGATTCTTGGCATAGCTCATTTAAAGAATTTAACAAAATGGATAAAATAAAATTTGATCCTTCAACAATTACTGCAGCAATTCATCCAAATGCTGTTTATACTAGCAGATTATTAAATTTTACAAACCTCCCCCAACCTGTGAATTCAAATAAAGTAACAATTACTGGTAATAATAATGGTAATTATTAATATTCAATCATTGACTATTTTCATTTTTATTAACATTAACAATATTTATTAATATCCATTCTTGTGATAAATACTTTGTAGATTCTAAACAAATTGATTTAGCTATACCAGATAACTTACCTGAATAAGTTAAATCCTGTCACTTTTTATGTATTAAATTATTTATTTATTTTAAATGACTTGAGTAATGATATTATATAATAACATCTGAGATTTTTTTTTTTTTTTGAAATTCAGATGTCAAATATGCACACTAAATAAAAAATAATGATTTTTTTGACAAAAAAAAAATAAATGTAATAATCACTGTTATCATACATACACAACTGCAGTATCGTTTGTTTCTTACCTTTTCAAATCGATGTTTCATTTTTTATAACATTAACAAATTGAAGTGATGTACTTATCAATATATAATATATAAATAATTTATTAATATTAAGATTTTAAAATTTAATACATGTATCTGAATAATTTAAATATAATAAAAATCATACCTAAATTACCAAATAAAAAAGACCATACCTAAATCATTTCAACTTGTTATTATAAGCGATTAATGATTATAGATGATCTGCACCGTAGCGCTTTTTAAGAAATCGAAACTTGCAAAAATTTTGCGTTACAATATTATTTATATTGTATACACAGTGAATCTCGATATAGCAGATATCTCGGTTTAACAGGTTTTGGAAATTTTTCTTTAATTGTCCAAACTATCCGCTAAATCGAGATTCACTGTGTATATAGTACATGTTTGTTTACATATAATGGTTTGACATCGCTAAATCCAAAAATAATTAGCATGTGATTTTTTTTAAAAAACCAAATTTTAAAATAAAGCATTGCCAAATTCTATTTTATACTAATAAAACATGATATTTACAAAATTATTTAAATTCACGAGGAAGTCACTTGAAATTTATTAAAAAATTTAAGAAAAAAAATGAAAATAATTAAAGCAATAAATTATTTTTGTAAGATTTTTACTATTATTATTTTACAATTAATTGAAATAAATTGTCCTTGTTTAATGAATATATTTGGTAATTTTAGTGGTTCAAAAACATTTACCAACTTTCCAACAACAACAAAAATTAATTGTAAAATCAATTTTTCCATCAATTTTCCATCATAATTGTAAATTCCACTTGGAAGCTAATAATAAAAAACATGATGACTTGATTTTTCCATCGAACAAATTTATTATAAGTCACTGTATGATGGATAAAAAATATATTACTTCTTTGGGGAAAACTCAAGGTAAAAATAATACAAGAATTGTGAAATTAAATAATTAATCAATTGGAATTTAATCTCTTCCTTCATTCCTTCATTCGTTAATTCATTCATCTATTCATTTATCAATTCGTTCATTTTTGCGTTTTTCTTGTTAGGTCGCTTGGTTATTCTTGGTAAGGTTATATTATATATAAAGAAATCAATCTTTAATTTTTAATTTTTTGGTATTTATCACAAAATTCTTTAATTCTTTAAAGGATCAGGATGGGCAGGTAAAAAATCTTTTTCTTGATTTTCTTTAACAGTTTATTTTTAAAAATATTAATATTCACTTATTATTTGTTGTTGTTATAGGATATAAATTACTTAAAGACATAGATACAAAGCATCACGAAGTAATAGTTGTTTCTCCAAGGTGATATACAAAAAACTTCCAATCCAATCCCAATTCCAAGTTCTAAATTATTTTTATTTTTATAAATTAAATTTTAGAAACTATTTTGTTTTGTAAGTAAAAATTTCTCTCCCATTGGATTTTATGATGTACGAATTTAGATAATTCACACTATTCATAAATACACACATACACAGCACTCCATTACTTGCTTCATCATCAGTTGGAACTTTGGAATTTAGATGCATAATGGAACCTGTAAGAAGATATTCACCTAAAGTACAATATTATCAAGCTTACGCTGATCGCGTTGGTATGTTAATAAATAACTTAATCTACGACTGTTTTTTTTTAAAGAAAAAATATTAAACTTCAAAAAAAAATTTTTTTTTTTTAGATTTTAAGGAACAAATAATTTATTGTACTTCAAATCTTGAACGTAAAACAGACAAATTCAAACTTGAATATGACACATTAATAATAGCTGTTGGTGCAAATTCAAATACATTCGGTATACCTGGTGTTGGTGAATACGCCTTATTCTTAAAAGATGTGTCCGATGCTCGTAGAATACGTCAACGTGTCATTGAATGTTTCGAACATGCAAGTCAACCAATGGTTAATGAAGAAGAAGCTTTTGGTTTATTGCATTTTGCTATTGTTGGCGGTGGTCCTACCGGTATAGAATTCAGTGCCGAGTTACACGATTTCATCACAGAAGATATGGCAAGACTTTATCCCAGTTTAATAAATTCGGTTACAATGACAGTCTACGACGTTGCACCACAAATCCTTGGGTCTTTTGATCAATCACTTAGAGACTACGCAACAAAAAAGTTTACGAGAAAAGGTATAAAAATTAGAACCGGTCGTAAAGTATTGGAAGTTAAACAACGTCACATGGTCATAAATGAAGATGGTGAAGTTCCTTATGGAATGCTAGTCTGGGCTACTGGTTAGTAGTGTTGATAAGTGATTTGATTGGTGGTGGTGATATAATTGATCAGTTGGCGGTGATAAATAATTGGTTGGTTGGTAATTAATTCTTAGGAATATCCTATCAATCAATCTATCAACCTATCTTTTAAATATAAACAATACAGGAATCACTGAAAATCCTTTGACACGATCAATGTCTGATCAGGTGATGAAAGATGGTTCGGCACAACGGTTATTAACTGATGAATTTTTAAGAGTATTGGATAAAGAATCCGGTTACCCATTTGATAACGTGTAATTCATTTACATTCAATTCTTTTGTATTCTTTTATTTGATCATTCACTCACTCACTCGCCTCCCTTTTTAGTTTTGCTCTTGGTGATTGTGCAACCATTAAAGATTATGATTTACCTGCAACTGCTCAAGTTGCAAATCAAAAAGCTCTTTATTTACGAAAGGGTAATTTCATTAAATGTTGAATGCAAATATGTGTATATGTGATTCAATACATAGTTTAATCTTTTTCAATTAATTCGATTTTTAAATATTCATATAGTTTTTACACGAATTGCCAAAAATGGTGGATCACTTATTGGAATTAAACCTTTTAAATTTACAAATTTGGGTAGCATGGCATATATCGGTAAAAAAGAAGGTAATTCAAGATTTTGTGATTTGAAATTTGCAAGTATTGATAAAATAAAGTTTCATCTTTATTTATACAGATGTTTGAATTTGATGGTTTATTGTTCGTGTTATCCTTTTTTT